AAAAAAAAAAATAGTCTCTGTAACTGTGTGAATACTGACTGCTTATTGAAAACTTATGCTTAGACACAGGGCGTCATTTCAGATTTTTTCAGGGGAGGGGGAAAAACCAAAACTTGGTGGGCTTTTTAAGTTATTTATTACTGAAGGCGCCAAAGTAAACAGCAATTTAAATAAAACCTGCAAATTCAGGGGGGGGGGGGCAAATGCCTCACCCTACCCTTCCCAAATGACGTCCCTGCTGACATCTAATATTATTTAGAAATTTTTATTCCTTTGTGATTAGGCTTAGGCTTTGGGCTAAAAACTTTAAGCTTCAGTGCGAGAAGTAAATAAACTGCATCAGTATTTGAATTTAAAAAGTAAAAAAAAAACAACAAAAAAAACAGGCCTATTTGATATGCTTCTTCTTTTTGTCTCATAATGACAATGACAAAAGGGTGAAAACAACTTTGAACCACTTGTTTATTTTCCATTAAAATGTTTTAGTAAGAAAAATGTGGAGCCCGGCTGAGAGGAAGGAATTGAGACAGTTATCATTTTTTAAAAAAATAGTCTCTAATGCACATATTTATTTTGTTCGTGCTTCCACCGGTCTTACTGATACCAACTATTATTGAACCAAGGTTCTGCTACTTTTTCCCTTTTTTTTTAAATTGGTCCCTCTCTATCTCTTATCCCCCCCCCCTCTCTCTCGCTCTTCCCCTCTCTTTCTCTCACTCGCCTCCTTTCTCTCTTCCTCTCTCTCTTCCTCATTCACACAAACAAAAGATAAAAGTAATATAACCTATTTTAAAAAAATAATTAAATTCTTTAAAAAGGTTTTAATTGATTCGAAATTCGGCGAATAATTTATACGCTCTTCATTTTTAAGAGATCATTGAATAAACATATACTTGAGCTGTTTTCCTAGCATAAGAGACTAGCTCTAGCTAAACAACAACAAACGCACATGCAGAACGATTTAATGACTCATTTACTATTTATGATGGTATTAAGTGTAAGCTTCAAACATAATACATGTATCTTGGTTATCCTGTATTTTGATTATCTCTGCCTTAAATAAAAAAAACAGAAATTAAGTAGGCATGCTCGACTCAAGTGAAATTTATGAATACCGGTATGATGATAATGATTTTAAATGATAATGATGGCGATCGGGGATGGAAAATACAGTTGTCATGATTGTCATGATTATTAATATTGAATGGCTCAGAAATCATTGATCTTGAATATGGGCATGAATATTTTGGAAAGCATTGGAAGTTTTAATTTAAGGCAGGGGTGTTGCTTTAGTGTTTGTCGCCCTGGGCCAAGATGAATTTTTAGGATCTTCAAATCTAAAATCCATTATTATATTTTTCGTCAATAATGCAATAAAATACCACAAAAGCCAAAGCCCATTTTAGCGCATTATTAATGATTACATCTTACACACTAACAAGAGAGTCTCCAAATAATAATATCCTATGATTCTTTGTCCAATTAAATTTCAGAAAATATGGGTAATCTACCACTTGAGCGTCGGCCAAGAAAAAATCCAGTTGTTCCGTTTGGAAGGGCTATTTAAACAACTATTCTTACATTGGAGTCTGTTAATATTTTTGCTTCCGTATAGGCAGTATAGGCTACAAAGTTATATAGCACAATACTAATACATTTAAATAATTATTACTGCCAAGTTAACGATATGCCAGGAAGAAAAAGAGACTACAAAAGTGCCGATGTCCGAAATGTTTGATATAGATCAGATACGAAATGAAGAAGAATGGTGGCTGTCCACACTACTGCTGAATTTGTCAGACACCTTATTCAGCATCTAAGATGGTGCATTAACAAAATTATTTTTTTTGATGCAGATGACGCGGATGTCCACACACAGAATGTGGACCACAGTGGAAAACAAGGATGCTCAAAAAGCGTAAACTGAAAAGACAGTTTGGCACAAGCCGTGATCTTTCCCCTTCATATTTACGTGAATTCATGTACCATAACCGATTTCGTGGAACTTATATTTTTTAAAACTTCATTGTCACCTTGGGGAGAACTATGCATAATTCCATTTCAAACATTAAATTGTTTAAATTCTTCTGTTTCAAATTTTTAAAATAGTTTTTCTATTAAAAAAACATGTTCTTGTGTATTTGTATTAGTACTATTATTATGGGAATGAATACGTACAACCAATGTCATTAAAAATAGTATAAGAATAATTGAATAAATAGCCTTTCCAACCGGAACAGCTGGATTTTTTCTTGGCCGACGCTCAAGTGGTAGATTACTAAAATATATACTTATAATATGGAATATTATTATTACTATTAGGGATGTATAAGTATATGAATATAAAAGTTACTAAAAAAAGCAGATTTAATGTATTTCTACAGAAAAAATACAATTGAGGCTTCATGCTTCAACATATTGCATGTCAACAAAAAATTATTTATAATTATGCCTATTTTTTATCACACAAAGTGATTTACTCTGATGTACCAACTATAAAAAAATAATCCAAATACTTGCATTTATTTTATTGTTCTCAGTGATGTTATGTTTATCTCAACAACAAAAAAATGACCTCAGACTTTGGGTGTATTGGTAGACAAGATGCTGTCTCATTAATATTTAATAAGTCATTCATTAATATGAACAATTATTTTCAAATTAAAATCCAATAAATAAGCATTCACTGAGCATCAAAAAATATAATTTCTAAGGTACTTGGCAACATAGAAATATATTTTCATTGTAATATTATATTTTTACAATTACTGTTGAAATTTCTGTTTAAAATTTAAGTACCTTTTTATGCATTCAGTCATTCTGTTACAGCTCCCATGAAATTTATGTGCAAATATGATTGGCAGTGGAGAGATGGCATTATTTCATAAAACCTTGAGAAAACACATCTTTTTGCACCCCACTGATAAGAAACGGAGATATCATGCAGTAAAAGCAGCTCTTCTCCAAGACAAGCAGAAATATTCTGACAGGTTTGTTAATTCTATGTCTTTTGGGGATGACATATCACTTTTGTAATCTGCCATGAACAAACATTTGAACTAAATAATACTTAATTTAATTTTATGGTCAACTGTTTTTTTTTGTTGTGTTCTTTTTCAAATTTTAATTACTTAATTTTTTAATACAAAAACTAAAGCTTTTCGTTGGACTACCATAATTAGTGTTTAAGTTATTTTCATTTAGTGCTCTTAATTTTTGCATGCTCTGAAATGTAAGTTAGTCCAAACTCAGAGAATAACTGAGAATATACGCTAATACTATTAGATGATAAGTTGAATGATATAAAAAATAGCAATGTTGTGTTCTGTTTTTAATACTGGGTACTTACAATTTTTTTTTTAATTTCAAAAATTTTGTGTGCGTGTCAGCTTCAGTGTAAAAAAATAATTAAAATTTGACTTTTGTGTGTTTGTGTATATTTTATGTTATAGACTGCAAGGTGCTTTGTTGGATGTTAACAACTTGAAAATTGTAGGGGATCGTCATTTGGTTGTTGATGGATATCTCAGCATGGAGGTCGTGGCAGATTTTTATGTCTTCAGTCCAAAACTTGGCCAGGTCCTTGATGGAGTTATAAATAAGGTAAGGCAATCAACTTTGGAAATACCCACTGCGATACTGGAGCTGAAAAAAAAAAAAAATTATCAAAGTCATCAGATGGGTTAATGTATCCCAATTTTGGTTCATGGGTTAAATTAACATTTATTTAATCAAATAAATGTCTGATAGAAAAGTAAAATAGGAATGAAGTAACACATGTTATTTAATGGGAAATTTAGCATTACTTATGTTACCACGTGGATGTAGTGAAAATAATATTGGTTAAATCAGAGGCATGAGGCCACTTTCACTAAGAAGTGAGTGCTGCAGTTGACCCTAAGTATTTTGAAAATTTAAATTCATGGAAACAAGCTTCTCTAATAAGTGATAATAAGGCCACGTACCTTAAATAGCCATAGAAATCTCCAGATGCCTTAACCTTTGATGATGTTTAGTTTTTTAGTAGTCATCAGTCTAACTATGTCACCATAAAAATTAATGCTGGTTCTGTTGCATTTGCTTTTTTGACATGCCACAGTGCAGCAAAAGCCACATCGGCTGTTTGGTGATGGACACATTCAATGCGGCTCTGACGCTTCCTCCATCTTGTCAACTTGCCCCCAGTATTGGAGACTCTTGCAGCTTTCAGGTCAAAGAAGTCGTGGTGGATGGAGAGATTTTATTTATGAGAGGCACTCTGAAGAGGTAAACTGGATTGGAATGTAAATTTTTATTTTTTTACCAGTTCCATTTCATAAACATGGGAGATTTTCTCCCAGTCTAAATGTTCTCTCAGACTAAATTTTCTCCCAGTCATTTTGTTGAACAATAATGTTTTATTTCCAGAGTGTGATCTATCCTTTCATCTTGGGGGACCTCAGATGGGAAACATTGCTGTAAATAAAGACTGTCTAATGGGAATCAGCTACATAAAGCCCTCAACAAGAAATTCTGTTATCTTGTCTTATTTAAAATTTGTTGTCTTAACTAACTTTGAACTTTGTTTTTTAAGGTATCAACTTTTGACAGTTAAGGATTTGAACAGCTCTTGACTTTGGTCTAAATGACTGATCTATTAATCTAACAACAGGACTCATCGTCAAGTGTCCCGTCTCCTTGTTGTGTGATCCAATAATTTCAAGTTAAATCAACTTCTATCATTATTTATCTGGGTGTTCTCATGTTGGATCTCTTTCACCTACATCAGGGTCCTCAAACTAAGTCCAGCATGCCATATCCGGCTCACCAGTGTTCCTTAACTCTTTTCATTCCTCTTATATAGAGAGCGTACAACTATATACGTTGGTTATTGTTGCTAATAAAATATTGTCTTTTTTATTTTTTAAGTGTTGTTCTACCTATTTTATCATACATTTGGAATAAAAATATATTTTTAAAAAAAAAATATTTAAAGATTTTAAATAATAATTTATGTTTTTTTGCGAGTTGGAGGTTCACATGACATGCCGAAGCGTTACTGACCATTTTGGGAAAATTTGTGCAAGACGCTAGTCGATTCGGCAGCCCAAAATTTTAAATAATGAATACTACTGACGAAAATAGTGATCAAATTTTATCTGAAACATCTTGGGAAGATTGTTGGGAACCTGAATCTAGTGACTTTGATTCAGATTTTGATGAGAATCTGCCTTTATAGCCCATTATAGTCACTAAAACTAGAAGGTTAGTAAATCGAGTGTTTCGTCATTCCATTTTTTTAATAGATTTTTTACTTTTATTTTTATTTTATCGGTTTAAATTGTATTTTTAATCATAATTGAAGTATTTACTACCCATTTTAAAATGAATCTACGCAAATAAAATCATTGTATAATTTGTGAATATTTTATTATATAAATAATTTTAGAAGACTTTATGCTTAGAAACTGTTGCTAAGGAATGTAAACAATGCAGTCGGCACTGATTATTATGATATATTTCATCCTAAAGACCTTGAAATTTGACATCGATGTGTGCTATAAAAAATTATTTATCTGACACTAATGTTTTTTTTGTCATAACGATTTTTAGACAGTATTTGAGATATTAAAAACTGGAAATTTAAGGAAGTATATATTTTATATTCATTGCATCCCTAATAGCTGCATCATATAGGTCTATAATATTAGTGCTTCTTTTACATTCACAGGCTAGGCTTGTATGAGGTTCGAGATGATGACCCACTGGTTCCCTCTCCTAAGTTTCCCCCAGCCAGAAAGCCAGGCTGACGTGTGGGAAGAAATGTCATAACATGGATACAATCTGCATCCTAAAGTCTAAGGATTTTCAAGATATGTTTCACACTGAATTTGGTTGAAACATTTGTAAAATACACCTATTCAACTACCATGGGACCTTGGAAACATTCCATCAACTTTGGTTTGTTGATATCTCAACAACATATCACTTTTACACATTTCTAGGACTAATGTGCATGTCAACTGTACAAGTCCTGAGTGTACAAAAATACTCATCAACCGCAACAATGTTTCATTACTCATGCCGTATTCCCAAAAACATATTTAATCAAATAAGACATTCTTCAAAGTTTGTAACATTGAAACAGACAATGAGGACAAACTGTGCAAAGTGAATTTGTCAGACTTTATCAGAAGTAAATAAAGATAAAAACCAAAGCAATGTGATATGATGTGATGGATAATAATTTATACTATGTTCAGTGGAGAGGAAATTAGACAAGCCTCACTTATTTCAAATAATATGACAGCAAATGGATTTTCTTTTGTGAACAAAACCAAAACTGATTTGTGTCTTTCTAGGCAATTATTGGGGAGAAAAACCAAATATTGTCAAATCAGATTTTGAAATCATACAATTCATTCCTGTGACCTGTGTGGTGTTGACCAGTTGATAAATGAATATATCATTCTAAGTAAAGAGAACAACACTGGACTAATCCCCTTTTCCATTTTGTTGATAATGCCAGCTATAATCTCTTCAGGATTGTTCAAAAGAAAACTATTGTATAGATGAACTGAAGCTACCTGACATTTTATTCTCAACTGACTTCACCGAGGAAATTATTTTAGCATTTGCTGATCTACTGAAAGTGATGCAGTTCCGAATGCTGCAAATGTAAATAACACCAAATACAATCTAAATGCAATAATTCCTGATTGCATAGATTTTAAAAGCAATTGTCAGTGTGGTAGTGCTATAAATTAGGAATGCTAAGCAAATAAAATTATAAATCAAATATAGGGCATGGTAAATTTATCTTTGTTAAAAATACAAGAAACTTCCTGAGTAACAGTACCATGAAGTTTAAAATCTCTATTATTTTTAAAAATCTTGAAGTATTTTTTTAAAGGTAAAATAATAATAACCTGTAATTTTTGTGAATACTTGGTTGGGGGGGGGGGCGGTGAGTTTTATTTTTAAAAAATTATTTCCCCTTTTTGACACATTTTAAAAAATAATTTATATTTTGGTCAAAATCACATGAAATGTTCTAAATCATGCATATAATATAAGAAAATGAATTTTCTTTCTAAATAAACAAATTTTATTAAATAATTTCATGTGGCTTGTTTTTTTCCTTCTTTGCATGTGATCACCAATTTTTTTTACACATTTTTATTTTTTTAAAATTGCATTATTTTTTTCACAACTTCTAAGCATTGACACTATGTGTTTGAAAACAAATATTTTTAGAAACCTCATGCATGTCCCCACAATAATATATATATAACATCATGAATTTTAGACAAGGATTCTAAAAGTTATTGACTCTTTTTTAAGGTCTTTTTTAAGAAATCTCATGAAAAACATACAAAATTCAAGGAATGTAAAGAGTTAATGCAGTCCCCTGGTTACAGTACGAGTGGGCAGATAGCAGTGACAGATATTTAATTGGATATTGACCATCGTTTTAGCAACAAGCAGGACCTACTTCCCACGGAAATACTAATAACTTTACATAATGATTAAAATTGTTGATCATTTTCAATAATGCATTGTTTTTGTCTGTTTTGAAAAAAAGATATGTGCAGTGTGGATAGGAATATGTTAACATTTTTTAACACCATTGCCTGGCCCCCAAAAGTGCCTGATTAAGAAGTTTGAGGACACTTTGATTTACTACTAATAATTTATTTTTCCAATAGTCTTTCCTATTACATAAATTACATGTTATATTTCCTTTGCAAATACTTTCAACTCAATATCCAATGCATATCCTTACTATTCCTATCCCAGTGTCACTCCTAGGCCAAGTGCTGTCAGTCTGGACGATGAGAAAGTGGAGTCAGGGGATATCATGGAAGGATACGATGATTCTTCAGAACAATATGTCAAGCCTCAAGTGACAGAAATGCCCACAGACAATATGTGGGAAAAATCAGGAGTTGAAGAGGAACCTACGTGCTCATCAGCTGTCATCAAGGAGGAGCCTCTTGAAGTTGAAATAAAAGAAGAAATTCTCAACACCTCTACTGGTTCCACAAGGTCACAGAAGAGGAGGAAGACAGATAGTAGCACTCTGACACCAAAGAAAATAAAGAGAGAGTAAAGGAAATGTGATTTTTAATTCTGATGCGTTTGAGTTTTTTTTTAATATGAAATTGCAAATGGATTGTATCACTCTCTGTCCTTTCTATGTTGTATACTTTATCATGGTGCACCTACGTCAGTATGAAATCTCAAAACCAATGTAACTAAATTTTATATTGATCTCTGGTGTTAAACTTACGTAGACAATAAATTTACAGTATCATGAAAAAATGAAAGGTTATTCAATAACTAGATGCATTTCACAATATAATTTAATAATGAGAAGCATTTTACTATCTAAATTAATTATAAGAAGCATTTTACACTCCAATTATATCTGTGAAAACAAAGAATTCTGAGAATCCCTTTAGTTTTAGGGTATTAAATTTTAAATGCTTTAGTTTTTATAGGTATAACTGTTTTTACCAGCAGTATGAAACTTTTTCCAATATTTGGACTGTAAATAAGTGTAAAGGGTTTATTAATGAGTGTAAAGAATTTATGAATGAGTGTAGTTGTAAATTGTTCATGGATGGTCGTTAAAATTAAAATTCATTTAAGGTTTGTAGAAGTTCACGTAAGCTATGTTGAAGATAAAGTAATATATGTTCACCAAAAGTCTTCATCAAAACAGATCAATAGTTATAGTAAATCTATCTCAACAAATTCGGAAATTAAATTTCTAAATAACATTTTTATATTTAAAAAATTTGTGAAAAAAAAGTTTAATGTATTCTTGAGAAAAAAGATGTAAGGAAAAAATGTAAGCATGTATTACCACTCGCCTGTATTCAACCAAAATCACTGTGACCCAAGTCAGTGTGACATCAAACATCCTGAGTGTAACATCATATATCCTGAGTGTGACATCACACATCCTGATTGTGACATCACACATCCTGAGTGTGACATCACACATCCTGAGTGTGACATCACACATCCTGAGTGTGACATCACACATCCTGAGTGTGACATCACACATCCTGAGTGTGACATCACATATCCTGAGTGTGACATCACACATCCTGAGTGTGACACTGTGGATGTACCGCATAACCCCTTGCATACAGTAGATTTGTTTTTGTTAAACATTTTTGTGATGCTCTTGGTGCATAACAGACTCAGCATTCTTGAATGCCGCTGATAGACTGCTAAAAATTAACAAGTATTGAGTCTGAGTAGCATACAGGCACCTATCTAGAACTGTGGTAGTGATCTGAATAGTGTACAGGCACCTGCCTATAACTGGTAGTGATCTGAATAGTGTACAGGCACCACTCCTATAACTGTGGTAGTGATCTGAGTAGTGTACAGGCACCTGCCTATAACTGGTAGTGATCTGAATAGTGCACAGGCACCTGCCTATAACTGGTAGTGATCTGAATAGTGTACAGGCACCTGCCTATAACTGGTAGTGATCTGAATAGTGTACAAGCACCTGCCTATAACTGGTAGTGATCTGAATAGTGTACAAGCACCTGCCTATAACTGGTAGTGATCTGAATAGTGCACAGGCACCTGCCTATAACTGGTAGTGATCTGAATAGTGTACAGGCACCACTCCTATAACTGTGGTAGTGATCTGAGTAGTGTACAGGCACCTGCCTATAACTGGTAGTGATCTGAATAGTGTACAAGCACCTGCCTATAACTGGTAGTGATCTGAATAGTGCACAGGCACCTGCCTATAACTGGTAGTGATCTGAATAGTGTACAGGCACCTGCCTATAACTGGTAGTGATCTGAATAGTGTACAGGCACCTGCCTATAACTGGTAGTGATCTGAATAGTGTACAGGCACCTGCCTATAACGGGTAGTGATCTGAATAGTGTACAGGCACCTGCCTATAACTGTGGTAGTGATCTGAGTAGTGTACATTCACCTGCCTATAACTGGTAGTGATCTGAATAGTGTACATTCACCTGCCTATAACTGGTAGTGATCTGAATAGTGCACAGGCACCTGCCTATAACTGTGGTAGTGATCTGAGTAGTGTACATTCACCTGCCTATAACTGGTAGTGATCTGAATAGTGTACAGGCACCTGCCTATAACTGTGGTAGTGATCTGAGTAGTGTACAGGCACCTGCCTATAACTGGTAGTGATCTGAATAGTGTACAAGCACCTGCCTATAACTGGTAGTGATCTGAATAGTGTACAGGCATCTGCTAGTGTACAGCCACCTGCTAGTGTTCAGCCACCTGCTAGTGTACAGCCACATGCCTATAACTGTGGTAGTGATCTAAATAGTGTACAGGCACCTGCCTATAACTGGTAGTCATCTGAATAGTGTACAGGCACCTGCTATTGTACAGGCACCTGCCTATAACTGGTAGTGATCTGAGTAGTGTACAGGCATCTGCTAGTGTACAGCCACCTGCCTATAACTGTGGTAGTGATCTGAATAGTGTACAGGCACCTGCTAGTGTACAGCCACCTGCTTGTGGTAGTGATTGATGTAGTTGCGTAGGAGCCATCCATAAAGTATGCCACATAATTTTTGACAATGTTTACCCCCTGTCACAGTCTGTCACAAATCCCCACCCCCCAGTACGTCACACTCGCGCGTACAAATTGTTGAAAAATTAACAACTCATTAGAATTTAACCCAAAACAAACTTAGCTGTTAAACTATTCGATTTTTAAAATATTAACATCAAAGAACTATCATTTTTTAAATTAAAATAGCTTAGTAGACTAGTTGAACATTTGTTAAAATTATTAACCGAAGCAATAACTCAATCTATACTGCATTTGAAAACGACAAAAATTAAACTAGATAATTATTTATTTTACACAATTTTAAATTTTTTATCTGCTGCTTTTTTTTATTAAAAATTTTTTTTTCAACAAAATGTTAATTTAGGGTTTTGCATATAAAAATAATGAAGAAAACAAAACAACGTTCTTCTTCTTCTTATATTTGAGGAGCCCACGATCAATGTGTTGATCATTCTGGCTCCTGGTTTAAATTCAGAGTTTGCCTTCTCTTAGATGGGTTGCCGCCCAGGGCTAACGAGTCCCTTTGGTGGGGATTGAACTCCAGACCACCAACTGTTTGGTTAGAGACAGTTTAGACCGCTCGGCCACCCATGATTATTATTATACATTTCTAACAGGCATCATCTTTAATTTTATTGGAAAACCTTCGGCCTTTACTCGGAACATTAGGGTGTTAATTGTGTGGTATTATCATGCTCTGAAATATAGTTAATTATAATTATCATACATTTGGCCATTCATCAACAAGTTATAAAATAAATATTAAAGATAAATTGATATTGTCTATAAAGCAGTAGGCCTATCTTTTCTAAAGATGATTCTGGTAAAACTTGGAAATATTTAGGATAGGTAATTACTATTTTTGATTGTGATATTTACTTTGTGTGATTGCCACTTTTGTGTATGGTAATATATATATATATATATATATA